TGTTTTAATTTTAATATGGTAAATACAGTAGATATAACCCATGTAAACAAAAGCTCTTTGGGATCCTTAATAATTTCTAAGAGTATAAAGAAATCATGAGACCAAAACATTTGAGAATTGCTGAGAAATAAAATATAAAATACTTTGCCTTTTCTTTTCAGAAACAATTATTTTCACCATGTTATCGTAGGGGCCTCATCTATGAACAAACCTGTTCTGTCACTTTGGAGCATGCCGTCTCGATGACCATGGGATTTGAAGGTTGAGTGCAGGGCCTCTAATTGCTTCTGAATGTTAACTGTGGCTATTTTGACAATATCAGCCGCTGATCCCTGGACTGTTGTATTGATAGCCTGACGCTCGGCCTATGAAAAACAAGAACAGCTGCTGCATCAGATATGCCAACGTGGTTTCATACTGGCCTTTAGTGTCCACAGATCAGTGCTCATGTTTGTAGCCAGACTAGACATCTGGACTGAGATGTGACCCAGGACGTCAACTATTAGGCTGCAGCCTAAGAATAACAACTATAACGATCCAGGGCTCTAGATTCTGGGCTATTTACATGAGGATGACTAAACATAAGGTCAGACTGCTTTAGTTTGGAAGTCTTCAATACTCATTAGGACACAAAAACTGCATTGCACTTAGAGTGTATTTGGTAGCTCAAAATCATTTTATTTTATAAACATATACCATCAGTCTTCTAGTTGTTCTAAATATCACTCTAAAGGATGTATTCCTCAAAATAGCCTTAATCCTAAACAGATATAAGTAGAATATCATTCACTGTGATGTGGGTTGGAATGTCCTAAGCACATCCTCCATACCAACGGCCTCTTGTTCCTAAGTAGAGTTTGGCCCCAGCAGGTTTGGCACCCTCTGGTACGGATCAGAGCTTGTTATGGGCTGCTGAGGCTAATCATTAGCTGCTAGTGATACTGCAGATCCAGGATCCCTGGGCATTAAGGTAGAACTTCACTGAAACAACTGCTGCCAAGTGCTTCTTGGCCGGCAACCATGCCTGCTAAAAATAATCATCTCGGGAGGGTAGAAGAGGGGGTCTGGGTTAATATCAAGATGTAATCCATCGATTATATCCCTCGTGGAGCCCCAGAATGTCTCAGAAAGTGGGAAGGATCTACTCAAGGGAGGGGGGTCAATATAACTTGAGAGCTCTTCTCCAAACTACACCCAAGTTCTTGTATATTAATATCTTTTAAAGACATAGACATTTTTTTAAAAAGGAACTTTTTTTGTCAAATGCTAATGAGTCTATTATAAAGTCACTAAGTTGTCACCATTTAAAGAGTGAATGTATTTCAGCATTATACTGACTCCTCTTCCTTCTTGACACTGCGTGCCTCTGTGTAGTAGATTGTATTATTGTTGCTATTACTTGCTGCTTTTTTCTGTAACATTACACAGCCCCACCCACTGCCATGTGATTTGAGGTGTTGTTCCATGTAAAAGGATAGCCTCGACTTAGTTTGGACAATGAAACGTCAGTAAGACTGACATAGGACACCTAAGGTGTTTTAAGAGCTATCCAACACTGCCACAAAAAAAAAGGGGCATATAGCAGATAGGAATTTTTATTTCCTTATAAACTCCAGAATGAAGAAAATACAGACCAGAGCCACAGTCAACCAGAGCCAAACTGTAATATTAATGAGAAATAAAGTTTCTTATTATAAGCCACTGAAATTTGGGGGTTGTTTTTATTGTAACATAAGCAAGCAAATATGTGACTAACGTACACTT